AAAAAAACAAAACAAAACAAATATCGAGACTGCTCGACTTGGCTCGAAAAGACCCGAATCGAAAGCTGGGGTCAAGCCTAATTTTTTTGGCAAAGCTTTTGCTCGGGCCATTTTGGGCCCGAAAAAAAGCTTGTTCATTTAACTCTAGCCAAGCTCGAGCCTTGAGTTTCGGCTCGCGAACCAACTCGACTCAGCTTGTTGACATCCTTAGTTTCAAGTGAGATATTTTGATATTAAATAAAATTCTAAATGATTTTCGATAAATAAATATATCAAATTAATCATCTCACAGAGTAGAACGTAATATGCTACGTCCCGTTAAAATTAAAGTACGAGTCCCATTAAAATTTGGGCTCAAAGTTGACCCATTTCAATAACTATTTCCACTATATATAACAGCAACAATGTTTGACTATGCAAGCTGTTTGTTTTCTTTCTTCTGTTTTTATGTATATGTCTCCAAACCTTGTAGCCCAATTTCGCCAATTCAGCCGCCCTTTTTTCAGGTGTCGTTTTCTGTGCAGCCTGTATATATTTGTAGCGAAGAGCCTTTTTTTTTTTTTTTTTTCTCCCAGCAGCCGCCCTTTTTTTCTCAATTTTTCTCTAGCAGCTCCCCTCCTTTTTCTGCCGTGTGATGTGTGTGTGTGTGAATATATACATCACAGTAGGCAGCCCTCTTTGGTTTCTCAAGCAGCCTCCACTTTTGTGAATTGAAGTCCAATTTAATTCCAATTAAGAATATAATTGAGGCCCAATTAATTTAATATTTCCTTTAAGTCATCCAGTCTTCTAAGTTCATGCCATGTAGTCTTTGAATTTATCAATTGTGTAGACTTTGATCCCAAAATTTGCATCCAATAGCTAATTGATCCTATTTCTTTTCCAAGTTACTTCAAATAAGTCGAAAACTGAAACAAACGAAAATCTCAAATTAAATATAAAATCACTAATTTGATGATATACAAATTTAGTAATGTGGCATAAATAAGTGCACAAAATGCACTTCTTATTTATCGGGCAAGAATTGGTTGGCGGTGCTGAAGAGCTCATGACTCTCCATGTCAAAGAGAAGCTTGTTACATTACTCATAAAGGCTAAAGCCATATGGATATAGTCTTCCGCTTGGCTCAGGACCGAAGACCCATCAAGAATGACGATAATAGAATATTTAGTAGCGATCATTGGATAGCATTGTGATTTCTTTTTTTATTATCATTCTTTGTTTTCTTATTCCATTGAGAGAAATAGGAAGCTTTGTGCAGCATGTAGCTAATTGAAAAGGCTGATGCTTTGCTAATGTTGTCCCTCGTATGTGTGTTCTATTAATTTTGAGTTGGAATAAGATCACATGTTTTGTTAAACTACTCGTACAATCTTCCAATTTATCTTTTCAGAATTCTGCATATGAGGCTTTAAAGGCAATGATCATACTTTCTCATTTTGTTTAGATTGGTTAAAGTGATCTTCAATTGTTGCGTTGCATTTCCTTAGCATTATGATCTATCAGGTAATATTTTTACTACTCTTTTTTTTAATAAACTTTCTTCCTTGTTCAATGGGTACATATTAACATTTTGGTACAGAGCACAATTATGAATTGTCAAACATTTGTAAACTTAGAAAGATTGGTATGATCCCCATTAATTTTTTCCTTGGGAAAAAAATTGGTTAGCAAACACTTTTCAGTTGAATCTTACTAGAATATTATCCTTATTAAATTTCACCAGTGATTGTCAATTTCTATAAGATTTAGGTGAAAATTTACTGAATCCATTAATATTTGATACGCTAACATTACCTTAAAAATGCCACGGTCCGTGCATTGCACGGGCAAAAAACTAGTATATAACATAAGAGAGTGATAAAATGAAAAATCATGACAAATAGAGATCTCCGAAATTTTTTAGTAGAAGAGTTGAAATATTTATGTAATTTTCATAAATTTTAGGTAAGTTTTTGAACTTTAGTTTTCTTAGGTTTTAATTTGTATTGGTTATTTTTTAAACAAAAAGATTATTATAAAAGTCAATAAGTCTTTTGGGATGTTGTATAAATGAATTAAGAGCCTCTGGGTTCAAGCATGAAACATGGAGAAAAAGTCGCGGGAATTTTTAAGATAAATTTACCATTTTTCTTCTTTTTTTTATTTTCCATTTTTTTATATGAGCAGTCTTTTTATTTTTTATTTATTATTATTATTATTATTATTATTTTAAGCATCTTAATTTGTGCTTCTTTTAACTTTAATAGGTAACTAATTTCTATCAATTTGAGTGGTCCCAAGTTTTGTTTACTGATATATATACATGAGCAGCCTATTTTTAAGCATCTTAATTTGTGCTTCCTGTAGCTTTTTTTAGTGTTCAAGTATCAATAGGCAACTAATTTCTATCCACTTGACTGGTTCCAAGTTTTGTTCACGCATATATACATTGGCAGGCCTTCTTACTCTCAGATGAACTTGAATAGTCTTTCAAAAAAGAATTGGGCTTTACCAATTAAGAACAGAAAACTTAATCTAAAAGCCTAAATCATTATATATGCAGTATTTATAATTTTATTTATTTTAGCTTTAGTGGTATCAGGCTCAAATTTAGCCGTATTGGCCCACATACTAAATTCTCGATTGCAGCCGAACCATAGTGGTGATCCTTGAGTTCCAGGTTGAACTGTAAACGGTTAAAAAAATCTTATGTTGGTTAGTTCTTAAGGTAAATATACCCACACAAGACGGTGACCTCTATAAAATGAGAGTGTTGGTTTCGATGGGGCGTGCAGTATCCGTTCTTGGTTTAAGGAAGGGGGATGGAGAGATTATCTCTTGAGAGGGCTGGATACCATGTGGTACTTTGTTGGAAGGTACATTGTTAGGAAAGTACGAATAAAATCTCATGACAACTAAAAATAAAGTAAAATCTTTTGCAGTGGAAACCAATATCGATTTTTTCAACAATAAATCTCAAGAAATTTCAAATTACGTTTATGCTTAGTGGCAAGTGTTCTAATTCATATAATTCAGCGCATGCATGCCTAAGCTTGAAAAGTTGCTTATACGTAAAATTATCAAAAAGGTAATAACTTTTAATATATAATTTTGTTAATTGATTAAGTTCAAACTGTTGAAAATAATTAACTATTTTTTATAAGAAAATGTAATTTATCAAAACATATTTACAATGCATACTTTTAAGCTTAACCGAACTGTTGGTTAATGAATTTTAATCATCACAATAGGAAATTAATTTTCCTTTGAAAATTAAAATCATGTAAATAAGGATTTAATTGACCTTGAGATCATTGGATTATAAAATCCTTATATATATAGAAAGGGGAGATGATAACCTTTTTGAAGGAGTTATTAATGGTCTAGCCAATTGCTTCCTCCCTAAAATCTTCTCCATTGTTCTGCATTAGGTGTTATTCCTTTTAGAGGAATGTGAAAAGTGGCTAACCCTAAATCTCATCAAAATATGCCAATAAAATGCATATTTATAATGACCTATTAGGGTTTGAAAATTGCACAAATTTCCTTAGACTTTATTGTAGTGGGTCAATTAAGTCACACACATTTTATTGGAGCCAAGAGAGACCTAATTGGACTCACATGACCCAAGCTCCAATAAATGTTTTCAATTGGGTCAACTCTTGACCAATTGAGATACATCTATTAATCTCGGCTTATTCTACCAGAAAATCGAGATTGCACTCTCGAGTCGAGTGATAGTTATAAAAGCAAAATATGATCCAATAACAATATCCTCTGATTATCGTTCTAAAAGTCAACCCCCATTTGACCATCAATATATTGAAACTGGCAAAATGATCGTTTTGCCCTTCAACATGTATTACCCTCTAAGTCCCATTTTCATACGGCAAATTCATTGTGATCAAATTACAATGTAAAGTCCAACAATCTCATCGTCGACCTACTGAGCTCAGATTCAATTTGCCTAGGAAAATACCTTAGAGTGACGATCGTCTCATCTCAATGATTAATGGATTCCAATATTGTAAGTATATGATCTCTAATTGTTTCGGCCCCATTCCCAAAGCACTAAGATCAATCTTTCATTTAAGACTTCACTCATTGATACCTCAAAGAACTTGAACTAGCAATCAAAGGTACATTACTCACTCAGGATTTAGGCGACCTGTTTGATAATCAAGTAGAGTCTCATTTCAAACGGTCACAAATGAGTCATCTACGCGGTCCCGTTCAATGTGCATCGAAAAACATTATTGTTCCTATTTCAAGATCTAGACAAATCTTACTAAGAAAAATACAATCTTAACAATATAAAGCGTCCAACTTTATGAACCGATTGTGAACGTCATAATTTTGATCATATCACAAATTGTGTCTTACTATTCCCGATCCATCGAGTGTACAATTTGTGACATCCTATATGATCATGGAACCTTAGACAATCACTTCAAATTATAACACGCAAATAAATGAACGTAAATTCATAATGTGATTTTACAGAACATTACTCGAAGAATGGGCATCAAACTAACAATCTTCCACTTGCCCTTCTTAGAGTATGTGTGACATATCAAGAATACCAATCCCCTTAAGATGTCCATCAAAAGCCTTAGCTGGTAAGGTCTTAGTGAACGGATCCGCAAGATTATCTGCTGATGCAATCTTACTAACCGTCATGTCTCCTCGATGAACAATTTCTCTAACAAGGTGATATTTTCTCTCGATGTGCTTGCCACGCTGATGACTCCTACGTTCTTTAGCATTGGCATCCGCCCCACTA